TAATGAAAACGGTCTGGGACCGAAACCAACGGATCTGGACCCGCAAAAATGACGGCCGCGACGCCCTCTCGCGAACCGAAAACGGCATATTCCTCAATAGACGTGTCAGGGTAGGAGGTCTATCCACCCCCGAGTATCCGCGCCCTGGCGGCCCGGAGATTCGAGGCGCGGTCCCGCGGCTACGCGGTCGGACGGACACCTTCCGCGCGGGGCATCCGCGGAGCGCCTGTGTCCGCTGGGCCGCAGCCCAGGAGCCCGGCCCGCGAGGCTGCGGATGCGTTCGTCCACGAAGAACCTCGTGAGGACGATCCTGGAGGCCTCGCGCGGCAACTGCATGCACCACGTGGGGCGGGTCCACGTCGGAAATGCGTCGAGTTCCCGTCGGGCTGCGTCGGGTGTCCGTCGGAGCATCGCCGCGCGCACGTCCGCCCACGTCTTACGGAGCGGACGTGTGTGATGGGACTGGTTTCCACCACCACTACCACATGTTGGAGAAGGAGGAGGAGGAGGAGGAAGAGGAGGAGGAGGAGGAGGACCTCTCCCTCCAACCTATGGTAGTGGTGGTGGAAACCGAGCCCATCAGTGTGGACCAGATGATGCGAGTATCGCGCGCCGTGCGGGGCCTCCAGAAAAGCCCGCGCCGAAGGAAAGCACGCCGGATGATCTTTGGCCGACGTGGGCCGCCGCTGGGGGCCCTCGCCGGGCCCTCGGGCCGTCAAGAAACGGCCCGGGATTCGAAACGAGCCCTGGGGAAGGGTCAGAGCTTCCAGTAGGAAGCACCAACTATACACCAACACCGATCCTGGCCAGGATCACCCTGGGCCAGGATCGGTGTTGGTGTATAGTTGGTGCCCTCCGAGCCAGGGACCCCGTATTTCGTCAAGCGCGCTCCTCGCAAAGTAGCTCCTCGCAAGTGGCCCGAATCCGCCGCGGCGGATTTACGATCTCCTGCATCGCAGCAAACACGCGTTTGGTTCAGACGCTTGCGAGTAGGCACTGTGCGAGTAGTGGAACGCGCTCGGTGAGCAGTGAAAAAAATGTATTGATTTGTTTACATACACACAAACAAAAATAACATCGGAGGCCTGGCCCTGCACAAACGCAGACTTTCGGAGGTCCGCGGGGAGCTCTCGCATCGGCGCTGGACCCCCCGGGGCGACGCCGTAGGCCGCGCGGGCCTTCGGCAAGCTTGCACTTCCGCGGCTTTCTCTGCTCCGATACCCGCTGATACAATTGAAGGGGCCCTGGGACACACGAATAAATAGACACAAATAGCAGGATGCCCTCTATTTTCCCATGTTTCTGTATTTTTGCCTTTCCCCCCGCATCCCATATTTTCCTATATTTTGGGGGGACTCGACGATTAATTGTGTCTGTGTTTTGTCCCCTCCTGAACAGTGGAAACCAGTCCAGAAGAGACCTTCCACAAGAAGCCCAACTCTGAGACCCCAGGACGTCCGCTGATTCTTGGTGTGGGAGCGTAACCCTTTCCCTCGGAAGACCATCGGAGCCCAAGAAACCCAGGGCACCCTGTAGGCAAGCAGGGCGTGTCTTGGCATGGGCCCCCGCTGATGCGCCCACCAGAGGGCTGGACTTTTACCTCCAAATCGCCCCAGCGCGGGCGGGACGGCGGGATCATTCCTCTCGCGCGCCCACGGCGAGACACCGCGGGACACCATCGGGACACCGAGAGACACCACGGCGGGACACCCCAAGACACCGCGCGCCCACCAGAGGGCCCGATTTTACTAGGGCTCCCAACTTCGCGCTTCGCGCTGCGCGAAGCGCGAAGCGCGAATAACTTCGCGCTCTCGCGCCGCCCTCCCAAAGGTAGAATAGGAGGACGAGGAGGAGGGGGAGAAGGAACGAGGACCGCGAAGCGCGAAGCGCGAATAACTTCGCGCCCTCGAGGGAGCCCTTGTTTTAGCACCCGAATCGCCCAAGCGACGGCGGCATCGCGTCTCTCTCGCGCGCCCACGCAGCTTCGCCTCGCCACCCTGGGCCTCAGATGGGTGGATGCGCCCCCATCCGACCCGCCATGGCCGGGGGAGCCGTGCGCTCCCTGAGCCCAGCCTTAGGTCGGGCGTGTCCCCCCACAGGTGGACCTTGATGGACAAATGGAAAACAGTAACATGAAATATTCACACAGAAACTAAAAGTCCAAAGAAACGAAACAACAAAGATCGTCCCCGCGCTATTTTTGCTGACTATGTTTGAATAGTCCTCCTGCAGAGGGACATGCCCGACTTACACCCAGCCTTGGCGCACCCATCGTGTCGACGACGATCAATCTCTCGGGGGGGGCGGGGGGGTCGAAGCTGATGGCCCCCCCCCAGGGAGCTACCAACAGGCTCCATGAGAACGTGTCAAGTTGGCACACATCCGGTGGGTCTTGACTCCTTCTCGTTTTACGTGCATTCCTATAGATTGCCGCTCTCTTGGGGCTCCAATCCTTTGTGTTTTGTTCGTAGTCCTATAGACTGCCTCTCTCCTGGGGTTCGAAAGCTCACAGGTTTTACGTATATTCCTATCGATTTCCCGACCACACCTCCCCCCGGCCGTGGCTCGTCGAGGAGCGCCGGGTACGCACGCGCCCCCCTGGCCAGGCATCCAGGACGCCGCCCCGCGGCGGGGCCGAAGCCGGCGGCGTGCAGAAGGATTGCAAAAAAAAACCCGGTTGAACGAAGGATTGCAAAAAAACCCTTCGCAATCCTTCGTTCGGCGGGTTTTTTTTGCAATCCTTCGGTTTTTTTGCAATCCTTCGGGTTTTTTTTGCAGTCCTGGGTTTTTTTGCAATCCTTCGATGTTGTACCCCCCCCTTTCCCAAGTCCAGCCCCGTCGCCCGACCCGGGCGATAGGGCTTTCGGGTCACAGCTCCGATCGCCAGCGGCCGTTCGGGACGACGCCGTCGAGCGAACCCTCCCCCCATAGGGGGGAAGCAACAGCAACATCAGTGACGCGCCGCCGTGGGAGCCCAACAGCGCGTGTCTGCTGGAAAGCGCCGGGCTTCCAGAGAAAAGCAAGGAAGCGCACGCTGATAGACTGACTCCCAACAGCGGCGTGCCATTGATATTCATGTTTCCCTCCCGACGCCTTCCTGCGAGCCGCACGCGTAAACACACCGGCACGCAGGTCTCCGCCCGAATCAAGGTGCACACATTCTGGTCAACGCCTCACGATCGCGGACCTAACCCGACGAATGTCCACGGTACTGCGCGCGCTTGCGGCTGCGAGTGTGGTTTCGTGGTCACGCTCCTGTCACCCGTGTTCGAGTCGGACGACAAGCCCTACAGGTCTTCCAGAAGCCCGTCCAATACTGGAAACGGATCCTCTGTTCGAAGCCCATATTGACCGACAGGGGTCCCGCCAAGAGTACACGATAATTGTAAGTATGCCTCTGGGGCACCCGCCGCACAACAGCACCGACGACGACGAGATTGAGGAGGGGATTGTTATAGCAAAGCGTTCGGCGAAGAATGTGTTGATTTATCCTGCAGTCCTCCTACAAACGTGCTCAAAATTCCTCTGTCGTGCAGGGTTGCCCAGAGAGCATTATTCCCTGAAAGACAGAGCCATCAAAACTTGCCAGCTGGCCCTACAACAGAGGGAACATAACCTTCGCCGCGACGACGACGACGACGATTACGACTACGACTACGATTACGAGTACGATTGCGACTACGACCACGACTACGATTACGACAACAATCGCGACGACGAGCACGATTACAATCACGATTACACTCCCGACTACAATCATGACTACAGCCAAAACCATTGGTTCCTATTGCATTCCTCTTGCGTGCAGGGTAGCCACAGTGGGTTATCCCCTGCGAGAAAGAAATCCCAAACTCTACGCAGCCCGCCCAACAATAGAGGGAGAGATTCTCCGCCGCGACGACGACGACGACGACGACGACTACGATGACGGCCACGAGGAGGAGCAGGAGGAGGGGCCTGGCTGCCAGTCTTGCGGCGCAGTGGTCGCCGTCGCCGCCCCGTCGCCGCCTCGTCGCCGCCCGTCGTCTGGCCTGGCTGCCGGTCTGGCGGCTCCGTGATCGCCGTCGCCGCCCCGTCGCCGCGTCGTCGCCGCAAGGACTGCACAACATAGATTGAACAACATAGATTGCACAAAATAGGTTGCACAACATAGATTGCACAACGTAGATTGCTCCACATACATGGCATAACCCAGATTCCACAACATAGATTGTACCTATGGCACCACATAGATTGCACCACATAGCTTACTCAACATGTATTGCTAGAACTACACTGTTCGGGGCCCACGCTGGCTAGCATGTAGCACAACATCTTGCAGCGTACGGTTTCCCGAGGTATGACTAAAAGATGTTTCCAAGCGAGTGCGTCGCTCTTGCGTGGCCGACGCACATACAAGAGGGGCACGACCACAAGAGACCTCCCACAAGAAACCCAACCCTGAGACCCCAGGACGCCCATGGATTTCTGGTGTGGGAACGTCACGCCTTCCGCCGCAAGACCATCGAGACCCAAGAAGCCCAGGGCACCCTGGAGGCAAGCAGGGTGTTTCTTGGCATGGGTCTCCACTGTAAGTCTTCCCCGGTCAACCAAAAAAATCTAAGAAGACGCGGGGGATTCTGAGAAGTCCCGCGCCCTCTGAGAAGGCCTTTTCCTTCTTATTTCACCCCCGCTCGCCGCGGACCAACCCCTTCCCTATGAAGGTTATTTTTCGTCCAAGATCCACGTCTGATGGTCCCAGGGCCCGACAACGGGACCTGGAAGCAGAGATCGAGGAAAAGCTCGTGTGGGTGGTGGGTGGTGCCGACGACCTGGCGCGGGCGGACGGCTGGCCCCCCCCCGAGTGGAGGCGCGCCCTGCCAAAAACTTCCAGCGGGGTGGCCGGGCCGAGCCCGACGCGCACGGGCGCGCGCGCGCCGTCCGTGGCAACGGCGCGCGCCCCGGCGGACAGCGTTCGTGCAGCCAGGAGGGGGGGCGAGAGGGGACGAGGGGGAGGGGGCGATGGAGAAGGGAAGGAGAGAGGGGGGGGATGAGAGGGGAGGAGGAGGGAGGGGGAGGGGAGAGAGGAGAGAGAGAGAGGAGAGGAGGGGTGCGGGAGGGAAGGAGAGAGAGAGAGAGGGGGGATCGGCAAGCTAGCTGCGCTCGCGCCCCGTCTGACATCAGATCCTTCCCTCCCATACCTTCCCATGGCGCTGATATTACATGGTCCACGGACGCATGTCGTAGCCGACATACGACTCCCACAGAAAGACCACTTCGAGGTATGCGCAATCGGAAAAAGGGGAGCTACATGCACGGAAAAAGGAGGTGGTGAACGAGCAGGAGGATTAGCGGGAGGATCCGCCCAACCCCTTGCGGGGCCATCAGGCTGCGAGGGTTAAGCTTGCTGCTCCCTGCACCAGTTCCAGTTCCCAGTTTCCATTGTTACAATACTGCTTTCTGCTTCCTACTGTAAGTTGTTACTGTCCGCGCGAGGGGGGGGAGCCGAAAACCACCATGGTTAGCGTCCCCGGGGAGGGTTCTCAAAATTCCTGGTGGGTAAAAATTGACACCCCTCACGCAGATCGGCGGTGTCAGGGTCCAAAACACACAAGGGATTTGCCACATTCTGAAATCCGGTGGCGCCCCTCACGCAGATCGGCGGGGTCAGGGTCCAACAACACTAAAGATTTTCCGCATTTCTGAAATTCGGTGGCACCCCTCACCAGATCGGCGGGGTCAGGGTCCAACAACACTAAGGATTTTCCGCATTTCTGAAATTCGGTGGCACCCCTCACGCAGATCGGCGGGGTCAGGGTCCAACCACACTGGGGATTTTCCGCATGTTTGAAATTCCGTGGCACCCCTCACGCAGATCGGCGGGGTCAGGGCCCAAAAACACAAAGGATTTGCCACATTTCTGAGATTCCGTGGCACCCCTCACGCAGATCCGTAGGGTCAGGGTCTAAACACAAAAGGGATTTGCCACATGTCTGAAATTCGGCGGCACCCCTCACGCAGATCGGCAGGGTCAGGGTCGAGAAACAAATAGGTCCCGACACTGCTTCACGGCAAAGCCAAAGCCTCATGACTTCGCTCTTCCATGGCCCATTCTCCGAGAGGGGGGTCCGGCGGCAGGGGGCGAAGCCCTTACGGATACGATGAGGACGAGCAGCAACGGCAGCAGGAACTAAAGCGGAAAGATAAAGAAGAAAAGGAGGACGGGGAAGGCGGAGGAGGGGATCGATGAAAACAGATTCGGAGTCAGAAGCGTGCCCTTCGCTGGGGCCAAACTAACAGCAACAGCAGGAACTGGAGCGGAGGGAGCGGGAAGAACAAAAATGAGGGGGGCACCACAATGACACTAGACTCGGAATCGGACAAGCGGCCCGCACTGGGGCGAGAGCGCCACTCTGAACGACGGGAGCAAAGCGCCGATCCGAGAACGAGGCCCACGCCGCAGCGGGAGCACAATTTTGAAACACAAAGAACAATCGGATTACAACACCTGTGGAAAGGCGGTGTTTTTTCCAAAACCATCCTGTGGCGTTGGGTCCTCGTTTTGAAGAGACAGCGCCGCGCGCCCCTCTCCTTCATTCGTCCTCCCCCTCCCTCCTCCCTTTGTGAGATGCATGTCCCTCTAGGAGGCTGAGGATGCGAAACACTGCGAGACACCTGTTAGATATCAGCGGAAGTACGAAAGGAGATACGTGCAAAGTACGCGTTCGATATCGGCGCCGCGAGGGCCAGCAACATTGGATACTGGAATTATACCCGAAGATTTTCGTTGAGGGAGTGGGTACGAACGTGGGTAGAGTGAAAGTAGTCGCCCGACTATCGATTAGCATTGGCAGTTTGATGGCGCATGCAACGCAGCACGCAATGCAGGATACCATGCGACGTTACGCAATTTACCTAGCGCGACCGCGAGCAGACAACCCTCGAACATTTCGCAAGATGGCCCAGAGACGGCTCCATGACGGCCAAGACGCTTCCAACCTTGATCCGGCAAGGCCAAAAAGCCGGCCTGAGCGCTTCAAGGGAATCCACGATGGCTTCCAAGGCGGCCAAGAGAGCCCGAGAGGCACCAATACGGCCTCAAGATCTCTTCAAAACGGTTCCAGATCCAGCCAAAACGACCTCAGATGACCTCCAATGGCTTGACCCTAGATGCCCCTCAAAAAAGCCCATAGAGAGGCTCAAGAGTCCCACGAGAGGCAGCCAGTGCTCTCTTGTCTCCCTTATCTCTCCCAGAGCTTCATGGTTTCTCATTATTTGTCTCAGCGGCCGCCGCACCACCTTCTGGCGGTCACAGCCACTGGCCTGCGGCTCGCCTGCCGATCACGGCACCTGGGCGGCGTAGAACGCCCACTTGCGCACGGCAGCTTGCATCCCGCACGAGATGTTGCCAAGCGACGGGTGGCCCGAGACCGCTTTCAGCGCCTTGCGAAGCTCCCTCTGCAGCTTGGCATCGTGCTGATCCTTCTGATGCACCTCCCAAGCGCGCAGAGCCTCGGCCGTCGCCCGCGCGGCGCTGGCAGCCTTCAGCACTTCGGATTGCCAATGTCCCGGGGATGAGGCATCATGCACACGTCCTCTTCAGAATCCGCTGGTGCCCCCGCCATATCTTGATCTATTGCAGCGGGCATATGGAATCCTCAGCAAATTCAATGCGTGCAGGTTGCCCCGCGATGAGCACGTCTAACCAGCATGCCAGGTTGTTCTCTCCACGGCCAACGCAGATCTCCTCGAAGAGCTCGTCGGCGCAATTCCCGCGGGACACACGGGCACTTAGATATCCTGCAGCCACGAAATTAACAACAGTAACTGAATTGTCGGCAGGGTCGGCCAGTAACGTTTCCCAATCGACAGACTGTATGTCCGAATCTGTTCGCGCCACATGCATCGACGGACCTCTGCCACTCCCATCGCCCCCGGGACACTCACGGCGAAAATGTTGCGTGCTATGGCAGATGTCACATTCCATTGTTTCGCCGTTAGCGTCTTTCGGGTTGCCCCGACGCCCCCTACCCTTTCCTGAAGTGCGCCTACGACCCCTGCCTGCGACCACGAATAGTTCTTCATAGTGTGGTCCAGTAAAGGATGTCAGGACAGCTAACATGCCTCTGCCATGTGATCGCCGACGTTTGTCCTTACCCTTGCCTCGACCCTTACCCCTTCAACTGGGTGCCCGCCGGATAGTACGTCGTGCCTTACGAATTGGCTTCTTCGCACACCGTCTCCATATGCGTTCATGCTTCTGATATCTTACAAGCAATCATGTTCTTCCGTAAGATACGTGGGCATGTCGGAGTAGTCTAGGGCATTCGCTTCGTCGTCTGATGACGCGTCGGCGTTGGTTCCAGACTCGAAGTCAGACTCAGCGGGCTGCCCCGCTGAGCCTACGAGGGCAGTGGCGTGCGCAGGGGCCGCCGTTGCCAGCGGTCCCTGGCATCCTGCCCGGGAGTCTTGCGACCCCGTAGCCGGACCACCATTTTGAGCTAATAGCGCGGTGGTCTCCGTTAGTTGCGGATCGTCATTCCAGACGTAGTAGCCGGTTGCCCCTGCATTCGCGTCAGCGCGAAAGGTTTCGGCGCGGTGACCGCGGCTGAAGATACCACCAATATTGCCAGGGGTTCGCGCAGCGATCTGAGCGCGTGACCTCATGCGTTCAAGCAGGGAATAAAATTGCTGCTCATTCCTCGGTATTTGGTGGTTGAGTGGCTGTAGAAGTTGCTGTGCGCGCGACGCCCTGACGCCTAAGGCTCTGAACAGAATAGCCGTTAAGATTTGGAAGTTGGGGATGTTAAAGCCTGCCGCTTCAGCCTCATAGCGGGCTAGCTCGAAGCGCGCCAAAGCCTGGTCAATCCGCTCTCCCGCATGGACTCGGAAGTCGATGAGAACAGCACCCGAGTGAAATTGGCGTTCCTCCTCTAAGTTCTCAAACTTCGTGTTAAGGAGGAACCTAATGCAGGTGACACCATCAGTATGGCGGCCACCTCTGTTGACGCCAAAGTAATGACTGCTGGGAGAACTCCCGTGGCTATGGTCCGTGCGAGGCCTCCCAGACCACGCTGCAATGCTGCAGCTTGTTGGAAAGGCGTCACATTGCCTGTGGTCACGTCGATCCAGGCATATACCTCTCGAGCGAACTCGCGGAAAGGCACTTGGCTGGTCGGGTCCCAATGGGGGCCGGTTGTCCTTGCGTCGTCTCTGCCACGCATGTGTCCCACAACACACCCGATAGCAACCCATATGATACCAAAGATAGTAACACCAATCCAGTGGCCCCGTAGGTCGTGGTCGGATGTGGTTGGCTGAAGTTTGAGGTGTTTTTTTTTTTTGTGAGCCTGCGCGGGGGTGGAGGCGGCACACTATCGTATCGCACGATGCCATGCATGGTATATTCGAAGAAGTTCCTGTCGGAATAAGGGGTGGACTTCAGGAGTGTAGTAGCGCAGGGCTGTAGGATTCGAGTAAGAGGCCTCTGCGAGAACAGAGGTAGCACTGCAAGTGTCCTTGCGGTTCTGCGTAGTTGTGTACATTCCTCCGCGCAGACACGCTGCACCCTCATGTTCCGCCATATCAGTAATCCACCAGATAGTGCCGTGGACGGTGAGGAGCGAAGCAAAAGCTGACCACCATAGGCCACCTCCGCTACCAAGTTTGATGGGGACCGGTAGGCCCGTCCAGAAACGACGCCTTAGGCGAAACACAATTCCTGCTCTGTTGTATCGTAATAACGATAGTCCCAGTCGTAGGAGGTCGTCGCGGGGGCGACGGGCCATCTCAAGCGAAGGATTATTTCGGTCTCGATGGCGAATAATATGCCTCGCAATGAGGCACAGGTCATATGTTTGCGGCAGGCCGCTTGAACACAAACGGCCGCGGACAAACGCTCGCTATCTCTCGCCCTTGTCCCAGCTCACTTTAGAGTGTGTCAAGGTTGTTCGGGCTCTCGCGATTTCGACCTCCCGCCGTCCAGAGACCACCCAACAGACCACCAGGACTGCCCCAGGAC